ATATATATATATATATATATATATATATACGCATATATTTCTTTTCTTCAAAGTTGTTGAAACGCGTTCGAGAAACGAGTTACGTCGCGACGAATCGCCGCGTCGAATAACGGGAAGAGGAGAAAGAGGAGGAGAAGGAAGGAGGAGGAGGAAGAGGAGGAGGAGGAGGAGGAGGAGGAGAAGAAGCGGGCGAAAACGACACAGTGGCGAGCACCGTCGTTTCGTCGTTTCGTCGTCCCGAAACGAAAAAAAAGAGGAGGGGAGGAGAACGCGTCGAAACGTCGAGCAAAGAGCATCGTACGCGTCGCGGTTGCCGCGTCTCTCTGCTGGCCCTTTGCTTTTATTTATTATATTTACTCGCCTCGCGTCGAGTATATACGCGTGAATATACACACACGGATACGCGAGTTGGCGCGTCGAATCGGTGTGAACTCAGTGCGAGCTGAGCAGTGAGTGGTGATATACACGTTTCGATTTGTATCTCGTATCTTCTCCCTGACGGACGGTCTCTTTCTTTCTCCCTCTCTCTCTTTCTCTCTCTCTCCCTCGTTTCTCTACGCGGTGTGTGGTTGTGTGGTGCGTGCTTGACCCGTTGCTCGAGCACAACCCTCTTCCTCTTCTTCTTCGTCTTCTTCTTTTTCTTCTTCTTCTTCTTCTTCTTCTTCTTCTCCTCGGGGACAACAGCTCGACGACGAAACAACGAACCGAGGGAGGAGGAGGTGCGCGACAGAAAGAGAGAGATACGTATATATACGGGAGGAAAGGAGAAGGAGGAAGGTTTGCTCGGATATCCCGAAACGACGACGAGAACGACGACAACGAGGAAGGAGTGGAAGAAGACGACGACGACGACGACGACGACGACGACGACGACGACGACAACGACAACCACGACTCGGCAGCGGCGGACTACGTTCGATCGCAGTGGTGGTGGTTTCTTCCTCGCGTGACACACTTTTGTCGCGAGAGAACAGAGAACTCTCTCTCTCTCTCTTCTCTCTCTCTCTCTCTCTCTCCCCTTCGGCTGGCCTCGCTCGAAACCACCACGGAACTCTAGCAAGCGACGCTTTTAAAAAATAACGCTTGTTTCTCGTCCCATCCGAGAGATAAATTTCACCAGTGAGATGAGTTTACTCCTTTGTGCGCTGTCGCGAGTGTGCGGTCAATCGTGCGTCGTTCAGTGAATTTCCTTCTCCAGGAAACGAGAGGAAAAGTTATCTCTTTTCTTTTTTGTTTTTTTTTTGGTTGGTGGTGGTGGTGGTGGTGATTGTTCGAACCTATCCTAAATCCCCGCGTTTCGTGGTGGATAAATCGTGGTGGCGACGTGTGTATAACGGAAGAAAAAGAAGAAGAGAAGAGAATAATCGAGTAGAGAGTTGTGACTGAAAAATTCGACGGTTCAAAGGTGGTTTGTGCCATTTATCGTTACTATTGGAAACGCTACTACTACTACTACTACTGCTACTACTGCTATTACTACTACTACTACTACTACCACTAGGATTCTTCCGTTCCGTTTGAAAGAACGCGAAGTGTGTGAGTATCCCGTGTATAACGGGGGATATTATCATGTATCCCCGATCGCAGCCCTCCTTTGAGGGTTGATTTTCACCGATCTCCAACGTCTCGGGTTCGCAACGTCTCAGCTCCCGACTCCGCTGTGCTGTGCAACCACCCTGGAACTAGATCTAACTGCGTCTCTTCTTAAGGGATCCCCGATCTCGGCGCAAAGAGCTGGTCCCAGCTAGGACCAACCGTGTACCACATCCCCGCGCTGAAAGTGAGTCTCGCACGCTTTAGTGCTTCCCTTCTCTCTGTCTTCTCCACCCTCGTCCGTTTTTCTATCTCTCCTTTCTTTTCTTTTCTTTTTTCTTTTTCCGCGCGAAAGAAGAAGGTGAATCTTCGATCGAATCTCTTTTTCTTATATAATTTCCGCGTGACGAGAAGAAGGAGGAGGAGGAGGAGGAGGAGGAGGAGGAGGAGGAGAAGGCCTAACAAAGAGTACCATTTAATGACGTCGAAACTCGATAATCCGTGGCCGTGGATTTATTAAAATTTAACGAACCTCTTCTCTTCTTTTTTTTTCTTTCTTTTTTTCCTTTTTTATTTTATTTTTAATTTTCCCTCGAAGCACGAGGGGAAGCACGAGATAACCGGAGACCGAGTTAATGGCATTTTAGAGTAAGACGAAGGAAATCCAATTTATCCGTCACTTTGTCGCGACTAAAATCCCCGAAGGAAGTTCAACCGTGTCGACTGGTTTACAACGAACTCGATCAACAAAGCGAAACCTTATTTCAACCTCGCGTGTTCGCGAGGATGATAATGCGTTTATCTCGCACACCTACACGCGTATGCCACCTTTCTTTCCATCCACCTCCCTCCTTTTTCGAGTCGACGATTAAGATGGTCGAGAATCGGTGCTCTTCCCCCGATCGAACTTTTACTTTTCTTTCTTTCTATATACGCATGAAAGATACGATAAGAAAAGGGAAATTGGAGATTAGATAACGATTCTTCGTGGAATAATATCGAATCTGTCCAGAAGATTCTTCTTGACAATTATTCGACAATTCAAAGCGAAGGAGAGCGATAAGCTTGTTTGTAAAAAAACAATCGGTTAAATAATTTTGCATATCCTATTGTTTTATTGAAATAAAAAAAAGTAATAATCCGTTTACCAAAGGTTCGAGCTGAAAATTTGCATCGTGTTGAATAATTTGTGAATCGCCTCTAAGAAGATTCGACTTGAAATCGCTGTAAATAAATAAATGGGGAATCTGTTGATTTACAGCGTTTGGTTGCAGCTGTAAGCAGGCAAAGAAAAAATATTACCAGCTCCGAGAGAAACTTGTCGCTTTTAAATATTCTCTTAAAGAATAATTTTTAAATCGATACGATTGGTTCCTTTTATCGAGCTTGAAAACTACCAACAACTTATTAGTTCGAATTACGAAAAATTAGACGCCCAAATTTTTAACTTCGTCTATCCTACTTTCCCTCCAATATCATCGCATGTACGATAATACGATAATACGCGGATCACAGAATTCAAACCGCGCATAGGAATATTTCAATGCATACATTTTCGAAAACACCCCTCCCCCCTCCCCTTATATATTTACGACGCGTATAAAGCTTCACCGGCCCCGGTGTCCGCTTTAATATTTGATCCGCAAAATCTCGAGCGAAACGTTGATCGTGGTTAATTACGGGAGATCGTAGGAGACCGGTTGTAGTTTAATAATCCCGCAAAATTAACGAACTCGAGGCGCGTTAAACCCCCGTGACGCCCCGGTTATCCAAGATGAGATCCAGCCGCGGTATCGTTAAATACAGGCGGGGGAGGAAAAAAGAAAAAGAGAGAGAGAGAGAGAAAGGAAAAAATCGTTGCCGAAAAAAATCTCTCCGCCGCTACATGCTCGAAACTATATGCAAAAATTTCCCTCCCTCTAATGAACTTTCTCCCGCGCCACGCGCGTGCAACATATTCGTTTCACGCGCGCTAATTACACGTATAATTTTCTAAATGCAAATGCCTCGGGCGTGTCGTCGAATGTGTATATATATATATATATCCGTGATTAAAACTCGCGCTTCCACACACGCGTCACGTACGTTTTGAATTTTCTCGTCGACTTCTCTCGTCCACGATTCGTTCAACGATTCGTTATTTATGCAAATCGTTCGGAGTGGAGCAATGGAGAGAAGAGTTGGAGGAAAGAGGAAAATTGATGTAGAAGATCCCTTCTTTTCTTATGCGTTATTCGTGACTTTATAATTCGATATTTTTCTCGTCTTTTGTGGTACTTTTTCCTCCCCTCTCTGTTATTGGTGTCGTATTGCAGGAATGGCGGTGGTTTCGATTCGATAATTTTTCGATCGTGAAAACTTTTGTCGTGTTCAAAACGTGCGCTCGAGAAGAATGGAGCGCGTTATAACCGCGTTCGAAGGCGAAAATACGAGAGGGGACGGATGTGGATCGAATTATAACAATTTTCGAGACGAGTTTCAATGGTCTCTCGTTATAACCGTACGAAAGAGTATTACGCAAAACCGTCCTTCGAGAAGCGCACAGGGATCGAAAGAGAGAGAGAGAGAGAAATCTCGACCGATCGATGGGACACTTAACCTGTTTAGCGCAATTAATCGCATTGCAGGGAAATGAATTTGTAACGACATTTATCGGAATGAAGCGGATCGAGGAGAGTTAACGGTCGCGGAGAATTCGAAGAGGAACAAAACGGAAGAAAGAGCTGCTAATTTAAAATTTCTCCTCTTTAAAATTCCTCGAAATTCCAGAGAAACGATTTCTGAAACGATCGTTGGGATACGGAAATTGACGGTTAAAATCGAGGCGATAGGAAGGCTGGTTTACGGAGGCATAATTATAAAAGCGTGGCGGGAGCGCTCAAGGGCGCACGTAGAGAGTGGAGCAGCCCGCCATAAATTCGCAGCCGACGAGAGGGCAAAGCCTTCTTCGCTGCGACGTGCCATTGATCATGGTGGATAGGTAACTCGCGTGGCTGGCCAACGCGAAGGGTCGGCTTAGTCGATACGTTCGTTTCTACGTTCGTTCCAGTTTTATACACGCCGAGCTCCCCGTTCCTCTCTCTCTCTCTCTCTCTCTCTCTTATCCACCCCCTGGACGTGGTTGTCGGGAAAATTACGGGACGCGATCGTTGTGTGTTGACGACCGATCCTTCTCTTTGTTGCGCCACCCCCCTTTTTTCTCTCTTCTTCCTTTTTCACACCGAGACCTCTCGACGCTCCCTCCCTCCCCCTCGTCATTAGTCTTCGTGATCGATCATCCCCCTCCCCGTGTCTCTCTTTTCTTCTTTCCCTCCGACTTTGAATATACGATTGCTAGTTGTTGGCAAGCGAGTCGAGATTGAAAGCGAATCGGATATTTATTAACACGACTGGCCTGTAGACACCCCTGACTAACACCGGAAGTCTTAATCGTCCCGACCCTGTTCAATTCGAATCCCCATAAGGGGACGAGATGACGCTTCTGGCATATGTGTATGCGCGCGCGTGTACGTGTGTGAGGGTGTTTACCGATGGAAGGCTACGAAAGGGATTAAGAACTTATGACACTCTGGAACCAGGCTTCCCCGCCCTGTGTGCCAGGGTAAACATTTTCTTCTCGCGGGATCGTCGAAACGAATCTGGGAACGCTATTAGGGGAAGGCTATTAAATTAAATTTGCCGGTCAATATGTGTGTGAGTGTACGTTTGGATTGTATACTCGTGTATTAAGGAATATCGTTACTGATTGGTCGTAATTTTGGTCGTTTTATTAAGATCTCGTATAGTTACGAAAAAGGTGTACGATCGACCGATTTTTCCTTCGCGTGTTCCATCGCGCGAAACGACGATTCAATCGTGTATTACAAATTGGATAGATAGGATTAAAGACGGGTTCGGATGGGCGAACGTTTGAAACGAGCCTATAAGTTTCATCGATCCTCGTGATCGGTTGATTGTTGATTCGATCGAAGAGAGGGATCTTTGATTACGAACTACGCGAAGATACTAATATCGTCGTCGGATGGAATCGTTTTTAACGGGTGAATCGCGTGTAAATCGTGAAGTTTCTATCGTTAATAACGATAGATGCAGTCTTGAAAGGTATAAGTCGATACGCCTTTCTTAGTCGAAGTCTTAAACGAGTCGGTCTCGAGTGGAAATTGGGGGAGGGGGGATATTCGGGGGATGGAAGCTAACGAAAAGAAGAGAATTGTAGAGAAATTGTGGCGGGAATTTAACCCGATTGTTCCTCGAAATTAGTATATTCACGGTTGATGCGATAACTTGGGTGGATAAAAATTCTGAATTGAAAATGGTCGTGAATATCTTCTGAGGAAGATTGAAATTGACGACGGCGGCCACTTATTATTATAATGGATACAGGATGAATAGAAGCGGTGAAATTTTTTTTTCCTTTCCCTCTTTATCTCTCCTTTCTCTCTTTCTTTCTTCCTTCTCTTGTCTTTTTATTTGTTCTTTTTTTTTTATAAAAACGCGAAAAAGGGGCGAAAAACGCGAAATCCACCTGGCATCTCGACGGAGAAAAAGAAAAGAAAAAAAAGAAGAAGCGGCGAACAACAAGATAAATCGGCTTGTTGAAAAAGCACCGAGGAGGAAAATTTTTGCAACGAGTGAACTTTAAACGCCATCGAACATCGCGATTAACGATGAACACGACTCTGCACGATGCACCATGTATTTTATAATTAACGATCTTTCGAATAATCTACCCGGAGACTTGGATTTTCCTCTCTCTCCTCTTATTTACATTTTCTTTCTTTCACGTATCAGAGAAAGATTTTGCGAGTATCGCGTTTATTAAAAAAAAAAAGAAATGAAAACATACTTTCCTTTCTCTCGTTAAATTTGCAACGAGCAAGCATCGTTGATCACTTACGTCCCTTAACGCGTACGTTAACGCGAACGGTAAACAGATATATGTATATATATATATATATATATATATACACCGTGGAAGGGATGCGAGCAGGCGTTCCATTGATCCACGGGAACCAGCGATGCCAATGAACTTTTAACTCGAAATCGTTTAACGATATCCCCGACCTATTACTCCGGGCAATCGTTTGCTCCCGGAGTGGAGCACCGTGAAATTTACAATGTTTCATTAGGGTAACGTATAAAACGGGCAACCGCTAATAATCAAATTAACCTGCCCGTTTTAAATTTCCCTAATACAATGGCCGATTGTACGCATGCAACGAAAATTGCACACACGGCTTTCGCACG